TGGCAATCATGAGCTATACATGCGTAGAAGGAAGTCTGACTCTATCTATCGAAGTGCAGTAGTTAAAGATACAGGCGAAAACGGGACGTGAATTGGAGGGGGCGCATTTGCCTTGAAGATGGAGGATCCCTGGACCCTTCACAACGAAAGGGTTGAGACTGACGTCTGCATTTCGTTTCACCTTGTTCCCGTGTTCCACAAACAATCTATTAACTACTGAATCGACACTGCCGTGAAATATCTGGAAAGGTTTCGTATGGGAATTTTCCATACAGAACACGTGTTTAGGTGCCGGAAATGACACAACGGATCTCCTCGCATACGGGACAGTGGCCCGTCCTCTTATCCCTGTAGCATATCTGTTGTAGACCAGAGTTCCCCCGTGTGTTCCTGGAAGCAATTGATGGTCGTCAGATGTAGGGGTCCCCGAATCTGGTTGTCAGACCGAACGAAACTCCGGATCCAGTTGAAGCTGCCGGGAAAATCAGGTACGGTTCCTCACTCTCGCGTTGTCTGTCGACTGGCGTGGTTGGCTCGTGGATGCTTTCTTGTAGTATCGAATATGTTGTGATGGCTGGAGCAGGAGGTGTACCAAAGGGGAGCGCCAAGGACGTCGTTCAAAAGAAGACAGGGGCAGTGTAATGCTTTGTTTATGCGACTATCTGACGTTTGGCGAGCACTTTAGGACTTGTCTGGGGCCCTGTACACGTGGGCTGGCCTTCGGGCCACGCTCAGGCCCCATTTCTCCTATTGTTTTCGGAATACATGTATTCAACTTCACTTATGCCTTCTACTGCCTCATTGGAAGCCTCGGGACGCTACAGTGTCATTTCCGACACCCATACGTGGATGTAGTAAGGAAAATTCTAACACGAAACTTTTCCAGATTGTTTATGGCAGTGTCGCTTCAGCTGTTGATAGCTTATGTGTGGAATACAGGAAAAAAGCGAAGCCAAACGCAGACACCATTCTCAACCCCCTTGTTGTGATGGATTTAGAGATTAATCCGTCACCAATGTAAATGCGTCTCCTCCACACCGTAAGTATTTGCTACAAATGGTATCTACTGCAATAGAAGTCGTTATAAACGTCGGCTCCGCTATCCCCTGTTTCTGGTGTAGCGGCACAAGACTTTTCTCTGGCTAGAAGGAGGAGGCATTTGGTGGAACTGAATAAGCGTATTCTAGAGGAAACAAAGAAATTAGGCCTGAGCATGGTCCAAAGGCCAGCCCATGCGTACAAAGGCCAGACGAGCACTCAATAACCGCCAGACAGGTGGTTACATAAACAATGTATTACATTGTCGATGTGATCCCTGGATGTCTGGCAATAACTTTGGTATTAGTTTTATCCTTGTGCACGTGAGCTGGCCTTAGAGTCACGAAAAGGCTCTTTTTACTTTTCCTCTTGGAACAAATGTATCCTGTCCAAAATGATGTCTTCTTCAACCTAGAAGAAGCCTCGAGTGCTCTTGCAAAATGGGTGGAGGAAAAGTAAACGAGAGATAAAAGCAAAATTTGTCTCATGCTCAAACATTAAGGCACAATGCGCATTTCGTTTTGTAAACCTACATTTTCAAAGCTGCCACTAAAGGGAATCAAATTAATGCCAGCAGTACCTAATTCACAGCTGCTAAAAATTTAGTGTTTGATTAATAACAAGTATGATCCGTTAACTCCCTCTGTCGTCGCAATATCTTAAACGAGTTTGTTTAAGTTTGTAGTCAGAGCAACATAGGTCATAAAAATATTAAGTCTTTTCAACAGGGAGGCGTTCATTAACTAGCGATAAGAATGGAACGGGATTGCTCCACGAATTTATGCTCAGATAATGTCTCCGCAAACTGTGCACAGCCATTGACAAAATCCTGTTCCAGTCAAGACATATCACGTTCGGCTATTCCACCTCCGGCAAACCCATTTTCTCCACTATCGAATCCACGTGGCGCTGACTTTAAATGCGAAGTTTGCTCTAAGCCAGCATACTTGCAGTGCTCGTTGTGTAGAGTCACATATTACTGGTGCATACGACACTACTTATTCATTGTTGAAAACGAAAATAACAAATTTCATAAAATTGAGTATTACCGTCAGTAGACGACAATTTCTTTACTGATATTTCGAACGAGTTTTCAATGTTAAAACAAGCTTTTTTTGCCCTCCGACTAAACTGCTAAAGCTCTACTATTTTTATTGCGATAACCCTAAATCCGTTAATAAACCCAATATCATGGCAATGCTAGACATGTGTAGCAAGCGAAGTCCACATTGAAGTGAGGCTTTTGTAGAATCTACTTTGCTTGATCTTGCTGTCTATTTTTCACTTCAGCAACGTAGGCCATCAAAAGATGGATTGGCTTGGCATTCATGAGAGAATCTGTTCTACACTGGAATGGCTACGGAAGCCTCCGGGGTTCTATTCCTCACAAGAAGAACGTCAAGAGAAAATGGAAAGGATAAAAAAGGCTCAGGTGACGGTTTTATTTTACGCACACCTGTTGTATCAGTAGTTACATTGTTCCGACCTTCACCAAAACGTCTTCATTAATCACCTTTCATAGACCAATTTATTCGAAGTAACAAGAAACACAGGATTGAAATTGCTATTTAATGGAATGGCGGAGGCTGCTATCCCAGCAGCTCTTCAGTGCCTAAAATTTTCAGCTGAGGTGTTTGGCATGGCTAGCGTTGAGCTAGTTATCCCACACCTTCTTTTGGCTGAAGCTAACATAAGTGAGTTTCCGAAAAATTTAATCCATTTTTTGAGCACTTAGTATAGTTAATTACTACTTGCTAAACTTTGTGTAAGTCAACTAATACGATCGACCGATGGTATAATCATTCCGGCCTAATCCAGTGCTCAGGCGTTTGGAACAAGCTGAATCGAATCTCGCTCAAGCTCAATGGATAATGCTTAAAACTCAGCATGAATGTTCTGATGCTATACGATCAGCGGTACATAGGAAGCTGGGCCTTCTCTTTGCAACCAAGGGCGATTATCAAGCTGCCTTGGAGTGCCTTGCTCAAGATGCAAGTTTATGTAGCTTCTGACTTGTGCCTACTGAAACTCTATCAGTAGGAAGATAATTAATCTTGCATTATGAGATCGTCCGATGGCATCATTAGTGGACTGAATACCCTCGTCTTTGAGCTTAAACTAATGCCTTTCCATTGACAGTGAATATATGCTAGTTTTGCACTCCAGCTCTGTACACTTATTTTTTATTTCTGAACCACATATTCATCTAATTTGTAACCTAAAAGCAGTAAAGTATGGGAAAGTTTCATAGTGGCCATCATCTTATTTACGTCGGATGAGATTCTTTATTTACTATGTCACAACTGTTTGCCATTCTACTCCTTGGTTGCAAATGAGTAGTTGTGAAAATGGATTTTGCCTGGGAAAAATAAACGGTGAAGTCAAGCTGGGTAGTACTTTTTTCAATTTCCATTTAGAAAGCACCTCAAATACTCAAGTAGCTCGAGCGGAATTGGTTAGGTAAAAACGTTAATCAGCAGTGTTGCGTACTCGTTTTCACGGTTGCGGGAATTCACATACGTAAGATTTCGCGCAGTTAGACTAAAACGAAATTCATTATTTGTCTAATTACACTCAAATTCAAGTTAAACAAAAAGAAACTTTAAATCGTGCATAATTTTTTTAAAGATCTATTATTCGTCTTGTGCCCACGGTCCAAATCACATCCGCACGGCTGGTGGATATTTCCAAATGGCGGAGGTGTTCTACAAGCTTTACCTAAATGAAAGAGATATTGCTTGTGAAGAAGTTGGAAAAGAAGCCAACAAAGAAACAGATCGATGCCCTCAAGGCATGATAAATCCCTCGGCTGCGCAACAGATTCCCGGAATGGATGGATGCCGTCCGATGCCACCAGCCTTAGTGCTTAAGAATCCCGACTCCTGCGACGACTTCGCTTTGTCCCCTAACTCATCCCTTTTTCTCTCGAGGGTGTACAAAAAACCCTCAGTGCTTCCAAAGCCCGCGCATAAGGATCAAGTTGCGGATGACTTATACGCGAGAGTGGTCAATATTTGGGCCGATCATTTGTCCTCCATTATTGTCACACGAATTAAAAAGCCCGCCTTATCGGGCGAATGTGATCCCGCCTTTATGGAGTTGCAACCAGTTGTTGAAAAGGAACTTGGTGAGTGTTTGCTCTGCTAGATGGGAGATGCGACAATTCCATGTAGGCTCCTCTAATTGCCGACAAATAGACTGGGTTCAGCAATAACAAGTTGTGCCTACATTTATCAACCGTTTCCTTTTTATCCCTCAAAACAAAGAAAGTTAATCCCACTTTTAGCATTATCGCCTTTCTTTCGTCCTTAACTAGTAAGAAGTGCAGAGATGTGTAGTCAATCGCAATGTAAATAAAGATATTCTTTAAGATTATTTTTTCGGTTATGATCCACTTTCATTTAACTGGATCATGAGGTCAACTTTTAATGGCGAGATAGTACACATAAATGAGAGGAAATATGTTCATATTACAGGTGACATTATGGCACACAAATTTCTCCCTTAAATGTCGATCATCCGCCCCTTCCTTTAAACTGGGCCTTTGGAACAACTCTCATCCTCATGTAACTTAAAAGCCTAATTTAGCTCATCGTTTGGAATCAAACAGAAAGCAGTAGTCGTCGCAAAACTCTAAAACCATTGTTTTGACGTGGAAGAGGGAATTAACTGAACTCTTGGCCAGGTAGAGTGTTTGTAAGGACACTTCTGATAAGATCCTGTTCGAATTGTTTTTAAAGCTACAGTAGTAGATTGTATAAAATACTACTTAATTGCCGTCAGTCAAAACGGTTTTATTAAGTGTCTTTTACCAAATCACGGCCTTTTGCGTTTGACTTATCTGACAGCATAATTCGAGATATTTGAGTGGATTTTATTCAAATTGCTGAGTGGATTATACAGGCTAATGAGACTGCAAAATAATCCTAATCTCAACTATTTCGAATCCTACATTGTGGTGACATTATGCTTTACTCAGCAAAAACAATTAGCATGACATAAAGGTAAGCAATGAGGGCTTTTTATACACTGCAGAATAGCATATAATAACATCTTATGGACACTCAGTTCTGCCGAGGAGGCCAACGTTTCGGCTGTAGAGCCAAATGCGGTGGCTCCCTTGGAATAAGGGCTTAAGGTATTGCGTTCCCACATACTACTTACATTGTCTTCTGCAGTGGATCTTATACTACTGTGCTATTCACAGTATAGGTGGCGGCCATAGCCCTCACCAATCAACAAATTCGACAATAAGGAGTGTTTAGTTGCCTCACTAAAGTATTTCTTTAGTGTAGTATTTTGCTTAACAATGAATCCCAATTCCCTTCCCCTTGGTAAGGGCAAACTCTGAGCAGGTCTCCTTAAATGAAAATGAGGAGATTGAGTTTACTTGTGTCCCACTTTGAGGACTGTTGAAGGTGGGTGTTGGTCTTCTTAGCACATATTACTCAATGCAATATAAATTTGCTTTTAATTTAAAAAAATGCATCAGATGATGAAAAGTGCGTAAATTGGACTCAGCTAAAATCTTGCGTTTCAAACTACTAATTAGTGGCCTCTCATTATTTTCCCAATCAAGAATGTTAGGCGAAAGGAAGCAGTGAAATAAATGTCTCCGAGCCTGTTGAACTATTTACTACAGGGAGAAAAAGTGTGATTGCGTTCTTTAAACTTGTGCACCCTCCTAATGGTAAAAATCTTTGTTAAAAAAATAGTTAAAGATTACAGGAACGTATTTTCATGATTGTGAGAAAGCAATGGGCAAAAATTGGTTTTGAGCTATTTTAGGCGTCCGTTTAATCACTTAAAATACACTGTTCTTAGAGGATCCTTAATTAACTTTTCAACTTCTTTACTTCTAAATGGAATAAAATTTCAGTGGCGCCACCTATAATGCAAGAAGGTTTTTTGCCAGTAGATGCAAAAAAAAACCGCTATGACAGACTTAGAGAGGATTTCTAGGTAATTATTATCTTCCAAGGGGAAATTTACCGTTGTATAGCGGTTGCTGTGAGCTTCAAAGTAGATTGCCTTGCATGGCGACACTTTAGTCGTGCTGGCCTTGGGCAAGTCCCATTGCATGTTGGGTAGTATGTTTGGCAGTCCTCCTAAGCCCCTTAGATGTTGCCAGGTACCGATTCTCATTGTTTTATGCTACTGAAGTAATCCTGTGTAACAGGCCTCATGCCCATTAAGAGCATGGCAACTTTTCGCGCCTTTTATGCATAGAAGAGGTGTCTGTGAAAGAGAAACTTGTGTGTGCTCGTCCTTGAAACGCTTCCACGCGACGCTACTCCCCAAAAAGCCGGTAAGCTCACCTCGTAAAGCATCAAGTCTTCGACCACAGGCAACTAATCACCAAATGCGATCTTATCCAAGACACAACGGCTGTCTTAAATGGTCTGGAGAAGTATAGATTTTACTGGTACTTGTCCTTAAGAGACAAAGTAATCAACTGCCACCAATTTTCATTGCCTTCTTGTACAATTATTCAAATTATTCTGAAAGCAAAGTAGGTGACTTTAAGAATAACCCTTATGGCGCAAAGAAAAATTGGGTTTCAGCTGGCACCTTGACTGACAGCTCTGAGTGCAAAATAAGTCACGCAAACGCATTCGGCTAGTGTAGGCAGCCCTAAAATGATTGCGGTTTCGATAACTTCGTGGCTATTTTAACTTCTTCTCCATAATAAAGCCAATTTTGTTTAGACCTGCCTAATCTCTTCTTTAATCTCGACTCGGTTCTTGGCCGTCTGAGCAGCCTATTTACAATGCAGAGTACAATACAAAAAATGTGATTTTATTTATCTGGACAAACACAAATTTCGTTGGGCCATAAAATCGGTATTCCCTAAGCAATAAATGAAAAGTTTAAAGTTCAAATCATGTACTTTTAATTGCTAATTTGACAACTGATACTGAAAGACGAGGGTATAAAAAGTGTGAATACACATATTAAAGTTTAAGGTCATTGGATATGGTAAGAAGACTTTTCCGGCATCTAGATGAAACAGATGCTGCAGAAGCCAAAAAGATGCTAACGTCAATCAACCGGTATAGGAGTCAAAGAGCTGCGTTGGACGGAGCTGAGTTTGGCACCTCGGCAGCCGGTCGTCCTGATCCTCGGACCCGCCTGCTTCTCGCTCTATCCATGCTTTTCTGGCTGCTTAACGATAAAGCCAAGGTTAAATATTTTTAACTTTTAATGTTTCCGTAGCGAACAGTTCTGCGACTACACACTACAGATTTTGAACAGAAAGTGATCACGAAATTAATCATTCCTCTTTGTAGCTGTATCATAAAATCATTTACACCCTATGTATCTGTTGCTAACCGATGACAGTAAGGTTTAGGAGTTAGTTAAAGCATCCGTGACTGCTAATGAGAAACCAGAACAACAACAACAACAACAGCAGTAGAGACCAAGAGATACCAATCTCTGCGATGACAATGCAAAACTAATGGACAAAACTATGGGCGGACAATCTGCAACGGGTGCGATTAGAATGATGTCCATTAGGCTGCCTCGCTCTTCTAACCGTTGTGATGACAAACTATCAACATTGTCTTAAATAAATGTTTGAAATCTCGCAGTACTGCTGTTGGTACAAACGAGATACTATGCGGAATAACACACGTCAGATGAAACTTTAAAAAGGGGAAATCTCTTATCATTCTATTGTTTACGTTATTTGATGGGCAGAGGTAAGTGGTGAGGAATTAGTAAACGAATACTAGAAAGACTAATAAAATATTTTATTCCTTTTATAGGCGAAGCAGTACTATGAAGATGCCACCGTGGCTGTGAAAAAGGCAGACGAAAATCGAAAGCTATCATCGGAGCTTGATCAAATGAAAAACTTGCTTAAGCTATGACATGGCATTCGGTATTTTATGAAATGGTATCTCAATTTTGCAATATTTAAGCATATAAAGCACTTTAAGTCATGGTTGGGTCTTTTGTTTATGTCGGCTTTAATAAACGCAATGCAAAAGTAGTAACATGGGTCGGACAGGCTAATGAATCCTTCAAACAATAAAAAAAGATTACATTGAATTGCTCGAACATTGTGATATGAATTGCTTTTTGTCTTGAGTTACTCCGAATGGACATTTGCATCGCACAGATGGGTTTTGGTGCTACTAAAATGGCCTAAATACGAGTCCGCATAACAAAAGTCTAATCCCGCAGCCGCAAGTACCTCCGTACTAACAACAAAATGTTAAACAACCACAGAAGAAAATACTGACAGATCATCGAATCTGGGTACAACTAGCTAAACCTTTGACACAAAAGACTGACCTTTGTGGACAACTTTTCTAGATTGAGTGTTGCGCCTCTTTATGCGGCTGACCATCTTTTAGCACCCATCGTTGGTCCTGCGGATCGCAGGTTTGACGTTTACCACTTTAATACAGGATGGAGTTTATAATAAAAGTGAGGAAGCAAAGTTATAATTCAGGTTCTACTTGTTTTGCGTCCTTACATCAGTACTGCCAACTGCGAATTAGCTGGTGAGGTAGTGGAAATGCCATGTACTCGCGTGGAGCCTTCCAGCGGACACCATTTGCAGCTTCATAATGAACTTCTCTAAGTGATGCAGAGCTAGTGTAGTTGCCCGAAGGTGGACCCAACTTTTAATCTTTCTGCTAAACATTAATACAGATTGCTTCACCTCTAGCATTTCCTCTACCCTTGCCACCTTAAGTTTTACCATTCAGAAGTAGAAAATTGTCTTTGTTCTTGTATTCTGGATTTGATTGGCTTATTCATCAAAATAGCGGCTTAAATCTACCCTAAACGGGTGAGTTGCCATAATTCTGGGTCAGAATAGCACTAATGATACAGAGAAAGGTGGAGCGGTTACAGGAATGACCATGAGGCCATGCCACCCAGATGTAGTACGATGACCGAATGCTTTGGTAACCCCAACCTCATGAATAAACAAACGAGCTGTTTTCTTATAAGAGCTCCACTACCATTTACGTTTAGAGGCATGACTAAATGAAGGAGGAATTTGAGGGGCAACTGTGAATTTAGTATGCGCTTAAAACGCATTTTTTATCCGTTTCTTCACATTACAACCCATAATAACACCACCCGACTTTTTAACCACTGACCTTTGCATGTAGTAGTGACTGGAAGGTGACAGGTTGTCCTTTTATATTGTACTACTAAGAATTCAAGGCTTCAAATTTGGTACCTTCACTATGCTGCGACCTCCCATTTTCATGCCAACCTGTTTACTTTCCTTAAATTAGTGTCGTCTTTAATAAGGAGCAAGTTAAATGACTCGTCTTCCTACTCTTAAAAACAGCGCTGGTACAACAGATGCTATGCAGTCAGAAAAGTGCTCACAGAAAATGCCCTCCTATGGACGATTTATTGAGAGGGGCAAAGGTAGGCAGCAAAGCTCTACAATTTGTCACTTTGGCCTTTTATCCTTGCTTATTAAGATTACATAAATGGAAGAATCCCCATTGCGGCATTTGCGCATCTGAGATGTGGAAGGAAGATCAATTCGAATGCTTTTAGTGATCCGTGCGTCGAGTGTCTACTTCTGAGGTGCTAGCATTATCATTTCCACATCATCATTGACAACAATGTAGTAGCTTAAGTAAACACCACTTTGTGCATACTATCTTGCGAACTCGAAGTCTGGATCTTAAAGGTTTCTCTGCTCACTCCTAGCATGCAGAGTGGTTAGAGAGAAGGGCAAAAATGTAAGGAATGATCGTCTTTGCCTTGAGCTTAGTAATAGGCTGGTACAAAGCAAGTCTTTCAATAAATTTTAAAATTACCCTTTCAAACAAATGTCAACTGCATTAACTGCCACCATGTCAACGTCAGTGATTGAACAGGGACACTCAGAATCCGCCAATTCGTGTTAACAAGTCTATGTTGTTTAAGTGTTTGCGACTGAAAGCATAAATAGGTTCGAAGCGTAGGCGATTGTCCCAAAAGAAGTTTGTTTAAATCAGCAATTTGTCTTTTACAACATTTGTCAACAGTGAATATTAGCTAGTCCACAAGGATTCAATTTATATGTTGCAAGAGAAATAAGCTGCGCATTAATCCAGTACCTTCCAAATGAGATTAAAAGATTTAGGAAACGAAGTTTCCCTACTTACTGATAGAGTGTATGGATAATGGGAAGAAGGATTGAAAAAAATCCTGCCGGATGCAGTGTAGAGGCACAAAAACTCTCATTAAAGCCGGAGAAAAGAGTGATATTTTAAGAACTTCATGAGGATAAAGGAAAGCAAAGACCTGAAATAATGAATGGTAATGGTAATGGTAAATAATGGTAATGAAGGCCGTACTAACCAAAAGCGGTGCAGTGATTTGACCTTTGGTGCGAGGAGCAAAGTGTGTAGCCTCAGAAACGCCTTCTTTGCGTCAACTCGTCCTACGGAATGGAGTCTGCGCCCTCGCACTACCAAAGTGGCAGTAACAATTAGCCGTAAATAAGGGAGCACATCATTTTTCTGTAAATACCCTCCTATCCAAAAAAAAAGTGGAACAACTCAAATGTTAGCAGAAGTTAAAACAACGTCCAGGTAGACATCTTTATTGTTCACTGCCTCAAATAGCCATAAAAAGTGTGCACCTTATTATTAATAAAAATTTGTGGTACCGAAATCATTGAACCACGACATGGGATTGTTGGTGGAGTTTGTGTTTCTCTTTTTCACTTCAGCAACAATGCCCTTGATTAGAGCCAACGAAGTGGATGTTGGTACGTTTTGTTTTGTTTTGTGATGATAATGTAAAATGATGGGGAAATAACAATTTAACCACGTTTTGGATACATTGCTTTCTCTCGGGTGCCGAACGGGACCGCTCAGACCCTCGCTTATAGCAATAAAAACGATTCTAAAACTTTTAAGCACGAAAAAAAATTTTTTTTAATCTCAGTTTGCTATCCACCTCACAGAGTTCTTCAATTATTGCCAACTTTCAGGAGATGGGCTGGTCATTTTCCTCACTTATTAAAGTGTGTACAAAGAGTGAAAATGTGAATATCCTAATAAATGTAATGGGTAAAAGAGTATAACAAATAAAATGGTGGCTGGATTGCATCGCACAGTTAGGTAAAAACCAGAATTTTGCTGACTACGTTGTGGGAAACAATCGATATGTCACGCCGAAAGAAAACTCCAAGTCAAGGTCAAAGAAGCCGTTATGACATTTTGATTGACAATGATGTCGAAGAAAACTAAAACCCATCGGCCAACATCGCTCATAGTTGCACCGATTCCGCCCAAATTAACATATTATGATAGTAGACAGAGAGTTAAGAAGAATGAAGACAACGCCACTCTGCGTCTCTTTATGCCCATCCAACCTTTTGATGATAGATTTGAGGAAGCAAGAGAAGTCACTTGCCACATGGACATTGAAAAAGAGGTCCAAGTGCACATCAATGCAAATCACGAAGCCTTTGAGAGCCCCTATGCTTGGAGGCGCCATTTTAAGGGCTTTGATGCAAAGCGGGCACAGGAGATCAGGTACGAAATGAGCATTGAGGAAATAATAGCCAGGCGGAGTCTGAACGTAGCAGATTTTTCAACAATGGAGTCACCTTACGTCCCAAGAATTATATTAGTACTTGTTAATGCTATAGAAACTCATTGTTTTCGTGCCAACTTTTGGGCTTGGATGTTGTGCGAATGGTCGGATTTCCATAAAGAGGCAGTCGATCTACTTGGTCATTTGCTCTTTGTTCACAGGCATGAGTTGTTTCTTCAAAACGTCTTGGAGAGATTGAGTCCAGCTCTACTAATTAGAACCCTTCGCGTATTCTTGAGTGCCTTTTCGCCTAAATTTCTCCATTTTTTCAAACGCGATATACAGGAGATAATTAAACGTCCCTTGTATGACCAATTTATCCGACCCAACCCTAACATTCGTCTTATCGTTCAACATGCCCTACTGCCATATAGCCGAACCATAATCGACACGGCCGCCTTTCTGATGCTCCATATTCAGCACTTTCTTCTGATGTATCCAACTTCAGGCACTGAACGATCTCTACTGACAAAGATTTATGGGCCCCTGTTAATAGGTTTCTCGGAGAGACCAGTTGCGATTAACAAAACGGCTACTTTCGTCAGTGAGGAAGCATCGTTGTTGGAGGCAATATTGGAAGTGTGCAATGCGGGCTTTTGGAATCACCTTGGAATGCTGAAAATTAACTCAGCTTTTGATAATCTACAACGATTTGTTGTCAAGTTACCCAATTTAAAGTATTCTTCATCAACTGTGAGAAAAATCTATCGGGAGGAGTTTGAAGTTAGAGATTATGTCAGTGAACACTACCTATTACAGGGTGAGAAGTATTATGGCTTAACAAAGTAAGTTCTGTTTTCACATGTAGGTAGCAGGAGTGGTTTCGTCTACTCGTAAATTATATTTGGGCATAAAATTTAAAGATTAGATTAAGGAGATTTTGCTACTCAAAAGCTCATCGAAGTATAGTTGATGGTCTAATATACAAAGTCCACTTTCAACACATCCAACCAATATAACAAAGAAAAATCTAAATGAATGAATAATTGTGCCCTTATTAAAGCTTTCCTTTTTTTCCAAACCAATTGCTAAAAAGAAAGCGGAAGTCACACGTAGCTCGCCAAACCTTCGTTTTTGATCACGGTGAAAATGAGCGCAAGTCAAAGGAGGATGCAATTAAATTCCGATGCCGAGAGTTCACTTTTGAGAATCGCACGCCGCAAAAGAGCACCAAATTAGAGACGTCGAAATCAAAGGTCAAGGTGTCATCTAGGCGGAAGGAAAGGCAGTTGATTGCCATTCGCTCCAACGATGCCATCTTTCGGGACATTCAAACGATGCGT